GCGCGCGCGCCTCGGCCGCGGCCGCCGGCGAGGCGGCGGGCTTCGGTCCTCCGCTCGGCGCCGCGGCGGCTGCCGCCGGGCCCGCGGCGAGGGCCTCCGCGGCCGGCGCCGCGGCTCCGTCGCACGCGGGCTCGGCCCGGGGCGGCGGGCTGGTCTCGCGCCGCGGCGGCTCTGCCTCCTCCTCTCGGGCGGGGCGGCGTAAGGCTCTGGTGCAGGGGACTCCTCCTCTCTCCTCCTTCTCCTCTTACTCTTCCCCCTTCCTCCCTCCCTCCTCCTCCTCCTCCTCCTCTTTTCGTACCTCCTCCACCTCCTCACTCCCCTTTTTCATCCTCCTGCCGCCTCCTCCTCATCCGCGTCTACCTCCTCCGCCCGAGGCGCCCAGCCTCGGACGTTCCCGGGGGGACGCGGGTATGGCATGACGGGGCCCAGCATACAAATGACGAGGCCCAATCTTGAATTTGACGCGGATGCTCCCGCCTGCAGACATCCCACGAAACCTGGACCGTCAAAAATACAAGGCGCTCTCGTCAAAAAACGTCGGCAAATCCGAGTTCTGGGTTGCTCGAGTCTTCCGTTTCGGTCCTCGGCCCGCGACCTTGTACATTCAAGGTCCTGAAGGGTCTACCGTCAACCGTATGGCAAGGAGCGCGACCAGGATGCAGGCCTTGGAAGCCCAAGGCGAAGCTTTCGAGCGGGGCGCGGCCAACGAAGGTGGCCAAAGACGGGCGAGGAGCAAGGATGCAAAGGTACCCTTGGGAAGGCTGCTCATCCTTACTATGCAGGTCGACTGTAAGCATCACGCAACTGCATCACGATTGGGGGCGTCCAAGAGGACGGGAGCAAGTCATGGCCAGCGGCACGTGCGCGGCCCAGAGGGGGGGGGGGGCGGCTGAGAACGAATTGAAGCAAGAAGAGGCGCTATGAAATCTAGGGGGATACCATGGCCCCTGCCATGATATCCCCCCCCCTAGTCATCATCCCCTCCCCCAATCATGACCCCCCCTCTTGGCCGCCCCCGACTACATTTTCGGAAGTCCGCGCGGATTTCTGGGATCTGCGCCAGCCACCTCCCCGTCCGGAAGTATCTGCTCGTGCTGCTTTTTCTTCTCCGATCCTTGGCCCACGGCTTGTTTACCAGCTGGCACAGGTTCTGCTCCACGAACTCCTTCAGCACGTCCGGAGGCGGCGGCGCGGCGAAGTCGGCCGGCGCGCCCTTCTCCTCGCACGCCTTCTCCCATGTCTCCTGGAGATCGTTGCGTGGGTTTCGGCGCTCGCCCAGGCTGTCCTTAGGTCGGGCGTGTCCCCCCTACAGGCAGATTTTGCAGGACAAATCTCAAAGAGTCCGAACATGTTCAAACAGTGGCAGGAATAGTCAAACGTCGTCCCTACACTATTCTCGGACTATTTTGGAAGATTCCCTCTGTCGAGGGACATGCCCAACCGAAGGCTGTCCAGCGTGGGCGGGCGGGAGGTGCCGGCCGATGACAGAACCTTCATGGGGCGAAGCACGGTGTGCAACAGAACACTCGCCGCCGTCGTGGCCGCTCCCCCCCCGGGTGGCTGCGAGCTTCTACAGTCGGGACGTTGACCTAAGGAACCCTGAATAAGGAACGAGGCCCCTATTTCCCATAAGTTAGACTTCGATTTCATAATAAAAACCTAAGGAAAACCTGAGGCAAAGTGCGAAGCAAAAAAGGAGCACGGAGCCCCTCCCCAACGAAAAGGGTTCCTTCTTCAGCGCCCCGACTGTACCACTGCGGTGCCACGCGGGGGTATAAACTTTCAGCCGCCCGGGGGCGCGGGCGTCCGCGGCGGCGGAAGAGTTCCTTCTTAGGACCGGGCCTCGCCCCCTGAAGCCTCTGGGAGGGGAGGGGAGGGGAGGGGAGGAGGAGGAGGAGGAGGAGGAGGAGGAGGAGGAGGAGGAGGAGGAGGAGGAGGAGGAGGAGGAGGAGGAGGAGGCAGCGCCACGTGGGCCCGCGCGCACCAGCACCGCGCGCCCCCGTCGGACCTGCGCGACCGACGAGCTCAGGCCATCCGGGGAGGGGGGCGGGCGGGCCCGCTGACCGGCTGGGCTACTTACCGATCCCTGAGGCCCGACGGCGCGGGAAACATGAGGCACCGTAGAAACCACAGCCAGAGCCCCGGATCCCATCCTGCGGCGCCGTATTTTTCGAGCTGGAGATCCATCTGTATATAAGGGCCTCGGGGGCCCGCAGCCGGGCGAAGACGCCCAGCTCGAACAGAACCGAGACGCCAGGCTCTCGGGCATCGCCAGACTCCAAACGAAACAGTCTCCTTCCAGTGGGGTGTGTGCCAGAACGGGGGGGTGGGAGGGGCAGGAGGGAGAAGGGGAGGAGGAGGGGGAGAGAGGAGAGGAGGAACGCGGGGCACCGTCTCTTCAAAAACACCACAGGATGGTTGGGAAAAACAGTCTCCTTCCAGTCGCCGTCCACGGGGATCCCGCGCCGCACCAGCCGCTCCAGGAAGGCCAGGTTTCCCCAGTCGAGCTTCCGCCGCTCCAGCCGCGGGCCCGCGCCCAGGTCCGGGCGGCCCTCGGGCGCCGGGGCCCTCTCCACGGGCTCGAAGACCCCCCGCAGCGCCGCCGTGACGCGGCCGCGCGCCGCGGGGGCCCTGGCCGCCCTCGCGGCGCCGCGCGCGCCCGAGCCCGCCGCCTGCGCGGGGGCGGCGTCGAGGGACTGCCAGCCGCCGGCCGCTGCGTCTGCCGCCGCCGCCGGCGCCTCTCCGGTGCCGGCCGCCGCGGCCTCCCCCGCGGCCGCGGCCGCGGCCTCGGGGGCCTCCTCGGCAGGGCTCGACCCGAGCGGTGTTCTCGGTTGTCGCTTGCTTTTCGTTTTCCCCTCGTGCCGCCTTCGCTCCACCGCTGCTGCTGCAAAACAAAGTCAGAACGAAGACGGCTCTCGAAATCGCCAAAGCACTGCTTGGGTCGATCCCTGCTCCTTGGCCTCCTCCTCGTCCGAGCTGCTCGAGCTGCTGCTCGAGCTCTCGGCCTCGCCGGCCGCCTCCTCGCTGCCCGCCGGCTGCGCTGTCGGCCCCGCCAGCGGCTGTGCCGGCGGTGCCTCAGGCTGCACTGGTGGCACCTGCACCACTTCGGAACAGGGTGAGCTGGGACAATGGCAGCTCAGAGTCGATCCCCAGACCCCTCCCCCGGGTCAAAGCGCGCCAGCATTTCCGTCCAGCCGTGGCGGCGAAGGGGCCCCCGGAAGGCCAACCACGGCTGGGAACGTTGGCTCAGCGTGTCGCGGCGGCGGCGGCCCCGGCGATGCGCTGTGCCTTGCAAGCGGACTCTCGTGCCCCTCCTCCTCCCCCTCCTGCTCCTCCTCCTCCCCCTCCTCCTCCTCCTCCTCCTCCTCCTCCTCCTCCTCCTCCTCCTCCTCCTCCTCCTCCTCCCCCTCCTCCTCCTCCTCCCCCTCCTCCTCCTCCCTCCTCCTTCTCCTCCTCCCCCTCCTGCACTTGGATGCAGTGGGGGCCGCGAAATGGACAGCGTGTCGCGCCGAGGCGCGGCGGACCAGAACAGGTGGAGCGGCGCGCTATGCCTAAGTTCCTGACCGTGTACCGTCCCTGAGATCCGACGCCGCGAACAAACATGCAGAATCGTGAAAACAAGTCACAGCCAGAGCTCTAGACCCTATCTCTCTACGCCTCCTTTCGAGCTGGACCCATCTGTGAGACCCTGGGGCCCGAAGCCAGGCGGCAACGCCCGGCTCTAACAAAACTGAGACGCCAAGATCTCAGGGTATACCGTTGCCTCAATCCGTCTTCCTCAGATTCTGACCTCCGCCGCAGGCTGCGCCGGCGGCGCCGCATGCTGCGCCGCAGGCTGCGCCGCAGGCTGCGCCGCAGGCTGCGCCGCAGGCTGCGCCGCAGGCTGCGCCGCAGGTTGCGCCGCAGGCTGCGCCGCAGGCTGCGCTGGCGGCGCTGGCGAGCGCGGCTGGGGCGTGGCTGGCGCCTCCGCCGGCGGCAGCCCAGGCGGCTGCGCGGGCAGCGGCTCCGCAGGCGCCAGCTGCGGCCCTGCCGGCGCCTGCGCGGGCAGCGGGCCGAGGAGGAGGAGGAGGAGGAGGAGGAGGAGGAGGAGGAGGAGGAGGAGGAGGAGCATAAATATGAGGATAAGGAGAAGGGGAGGGGGGAGAGGGGGGAGGAGTAGGAGGAGGAGGGGAGGAATGGAAGGAGGAGGAGGAGGAGGAGGAGGAGTAAGCCCTCCCAGCGCCTGCGCCGGCAGCGGCTCTGGCGGGTTTGCGGGCAGCAGCGGGGGCGCGGGCCCCGGCGGGGACGGCTGCCACGGCGGCTGCGCGGGCTGCGGCGGCTTCGCGGGCGCGGGCCCCGGCGGGGACGGCTGCCACGGCGGCTGCGCGGGCTGCGGCGGCTGCTCGGGCGTCTGCTGGGGCTGCGCCTAGGCGCGCGGACGCGGTGGGCGCCGAGCGCGCGGGCGGCCACTTGTGCCGCGGCCCGCTCTTCCCCGTCCCGCTCCAGCTCCCGTCCTAGAGATCCGCTCGGACCTCCGTAAGGTGGATTTGTTATGTGCGTGTGTGTGTGTGTGTGTGTGTGTGTGTGTGTGTGTGTGCGTGTGCGCGCGCGTGTGTGTGTGTGTGTGTGTGTGCGTGTGTGCGCGTGTGTGTGTGTGGGTGTGTGTGCGCGTGTGTGTGTGTGTGTGTGTGTGTGTGTGTGTGTGTGTGTGTGTGTGCGTGCGTGTGCGTTCGTGCGTGCGCGTGTGTGTGTGCGTGTGTGCGTGTGTGCGTATGCTGCCTTCTCTTCTTCGGAGGTCTCTGGGAGTCCCCGAGGCCTGGGGCCCAACGCGTCCTCGAGCTCCGGTCCTCGAGCCCCCACCTGCGGCGGCGACGAGGGCGAAGACGACGACGAAAACGACGACGGCCAAGAGGCCGAGGACGAAGACGACGAAGCCAACGACGAGGACGACGAGGACACCGATCGCGACGAGGACGACCACGACGACGACAATGACGACGAGGAGGCAGGGCCTGTCACTATCGATTCAGGACATCGGGTGGGATCGAAACGTGCGTCAGATCGGGCCGCCTCGACACAGAGTCGAAATCGATTTGGACTGGCTGCGCAAGGATGCACATCGGTGCCATGCAAGCACCAGGCCGCATCGGATCGCTGGAATGATCGACGTGGAATCGGATCGAGCCTGGCGAGCTCGAAATCGCATCGGTGCCATACCTCCCTCTCCTCCTCTGCCTCTTCCTCATCCTCCTCCTCCGCCTCCTCCTCCTCCTCCTCCTCCTCCTCCCCCTCCTCCTCCTCCTCCGCCTCCTCCTCCTCCTCCCCCTCCACCTCCTCCTCCTCCTCCTCCTCCTCGTCCTCCTCCTCTTCCTCCTCCTCCTCCTCCTCCTCCTCCTCCTCCTCCTCCCGATGCCTGTATTTTTGCACTGCGGGGTCCCTGGGGCTCTGGACACCACTTCCTGCGGCCCCCCGGGGCAGGGCGAGGGCCCCCCAGAGGCCGAACAAGACAAAAAACCGGCGTCTGGTAATCCCACCAGCCCTCTGGGCGTCGGTGGTTTGGGGTGTTTCCCCTTCGGGGAGGGGTTTACCCCTTCCTCTTCCCCTTCGGGGAGGGGTTTACCCCTCCCCCTGCCCCCTCCTCTGGGCCTGGAGTGGGGGGTCGCGAGGTGTCGGGGCGTCCACAACGGCCTCGGCGAGGACGCAGACCTCATTGGTTTTACCAAGGTTTTGGCCCCACTTTGGCCTCCTGAGGGGGGGGCCCTACTTGAAGCTCCCCCCTTGTTTGATCGATCTCCTCCAAGATGGCCCCAAGAAGCGCCCAGGAGGCCCCAAGAGGTCCCAAGATGGCCCCGAGATGGCCCCAAGAGGTCCCCAAGAGGCCCCCAGGAGGCCCCCAAGAGACCCTCAAGAGGCCCCAAGAGACCCCCCAAGAGGCCCCCAAGAGGCACCCAAGATGCTCCAAGAGGCCTCGGCGAGAATGTCAAATCATTGATTTTACGAAGGTTTGAGCCACATGTTGGCCTCTTGGGGGGGGGCACTGATTAAGATGACTCCAAGAGCGCCCGGGAAAGCCCAACATGACCTCCAACATGGTTCAAGATATCCCAAGATGTCTCATAATGGCTTCCTCTGTGTGCTGCCCAGGGGAGATCGAGGCAATTCCTCTGGGCATCGTTTCTGGATGGGCTGGTGGGGATTCGCGAAGCGTCAACAATTTTCACGTACGTTGGAGGTCTGGGAACCGATCAAATCGAAAGTGGACCCTGGGATGGTGGGGACGCCGACGATGACGAAGATGGGGACGACGACGAAAACGACGGCGACGACGACGACGGGAACGACGACGATGGGGACGACGACAACGACGACAACGACGACGACGACGACGTGACGACGACGGGGAAGGACGACGAAGACGAGGACGACGACCGGGACGACGACGAGGACGAGGACGGCGACGACGGGGACGACGACGGGGACGACGACGGGGACGACGACGGGGACGACATCGGAGACGACGACGACGACGACGACGACGGCGACGACGACGAAGTCGACGTCGGCGACGACGACGAGGACGCCTGCGGCACCGCGGGCGCCGCGGGCGCGTGCGGGAACACGGGCGGGGGTGCGGGCGCAAAGGCGGCTGCGGGGGAGAGCGCCTGACCCGCCAGGCGGAGGGCTGCTCCCCTGCTTCCTCCTCCCCCTCCTCCTCTCCTTGCCCTGTCCTCCCTTTCCCCTTGCTCCCCCTGCTCGTCCTCCTCCTCTTCACTCCTCCTCCTCCTCCTCCTCCGCCTCCTCCTCCTCCTCATTCGTTGTGGTCGTCGTCGTCTTCCTCCTCCTCCTCCTCCTCCTCCAAGTCTGCAATGGAACCTGCATCAAGACTGGACGAACGAATTGTGCGTGAAACCCCAGCGGCCTCCAACCGTCTACGTAAGACACAATGAAAGCCCATCGCTAAGCCGATCGCATCACTGCCCGCATCGGCGGCTCTGGTGTCTGGTACAGAAGCACATCGCCACGCAGTGGAAACCAGCGCTGCGAGCAGAAGGAGGACGGCAAGCAGCGAAGAGGGGCGGGGAGGACAAACGGGACGGGAAACAACAGCAGCGCAAACAAGGCAGAGAACAGCAGGGAAAGGAGCAGGAGAGCGAACGGGAGGGGAGGTGGCAGAGCAAAAAGGAGGATCGGCGGAACATGGAGGGAACCCAAGGCAAGCAACGCGCAGCAACAACAGCAACAGCAACAGCAACAGCAACAGCAACAGCAACAACAACAACAACAACAACAACAACAACAATCATTTTACCCGAACGCGTGGTGTTCTCCCCAGTGCCAGGGTTTTCATACGACACCAGGCAATACCCCCACTTCGTGGGGGGGCATTACAAGCTCTACCAAATATCCAAACGACTCTTCGCGACCACCCAAACCCAGCTTCCCGCCCTATGACGTTGGGACACTTCACTTCGTGGCGTGCGGACGACCGTGGCTACTACACTGGCGTGGGGTACGCACCCACAGAACTTGGTCACGTATTCGGGGCGCGCGTGTGCCCAGCATGGTGCAATTGTGCCATACCATACATAATACAGAGAGACGGAGAGAGAGACAGAGAGCAGACAGAGAGAGAGACAGAGAGAGCGGAGTTGGTCACATTTTACCATTGTTTTTTTTAGGATTCGGACAGCGCGCGGGTGGAAATTTTGAAAAGTCGTGCAGCTGTTTTTCGAGGACCTACGGTGCGATTCGTGTGATTTTATGATGCGCGGTGGTAAAATTCTTAAGAACCCAATGGTTTTTGGAGATTTCGGCGTGCGCGCGCGAAGAAAAAACGAATGTGTCCCGCATGGTATTATTTGACAGGGATGATGGCCCTGGCAGGTGCGCAACCGTTGTCGCAGAAGTTCGAAAAAGTTGCTCGCAAAAGCCCGTTTGACAGAAATGTTTAAAAAGTGTTGGGTTTCCTACGAATCCGCAAGAGCGCGCGGGATGAGATTTTGACATTTTTTTGTTGAAAAACCATTAGTTTTTTGATGTTTTTATGTTGAAATCGTTCCGAACACTAAGCTTTTGGAAGGATTTCGTCTTGCGCGCGCGAATGTCCACTTTACCTTATTTTTTGCAAAGGATTCTTGAAATTTGATTATATTAGAACAAGAAATGTCATTTTATAGTGTTTTTTGCAAGGGAAAGCGGGGGGGAACAAAACAACCGGATCTTGATCACATCGAATTACCTGAGGCTTCCTCACGAAAATGATGAAAATGTAGCTGCGGCCTAGGCGGCGCAGGGGGGCCGTGCACCAGGGGCCCCAACAATAATTATTCTTTAGAATTAATAATGTTCAACAACAACAACAACAACAACAACTGGGGACGGGAGACAAGGAAACTGCCTTCCAGTTTGGCGTGCGACGGACAAAGGTATTCGGAAGCGCGGGCCGCCTGCCACGCAGGAGACCTCGGCTGTGCACATGGGCGGCAAGGGCCACCGAAGCTTGTTGGTCACGCGCAGACGTGCAGGGAAAACGAGGAGGCAGGGCAACTCCATCCGCGGGGGCGGGGCCGGCAGTTGCGCCCCCGCGAAGAAGCCAGGGAGGGTAAGAAGGCAATTCGTTACCAGCCTCGAACGTATCCCTATCCCTAAGATTGACACGCCAAAAGGCGATGACGATCTTAGGGGCTCGCCCTCAAGAATAAGGGATTCCCTAAGGTTGGCATCGTGATGAGGAGGTGCCCAGCATAGGGATAGGGATATGTTCCAGGCTGGTCGTTTCAGGCGACCGCCAGGGGGGCCTCGCGCAAGCAGCCGTCGAGGGCGCTGCCGATGTCCTGAAGCGCGAGCCTGCCGTGCCGTGGCGCCCGCTGTGGGCCTGGCGCGGGGCGTGCACGGAGACGGCCCAAGCGATCACAGCGCGCTCGGCCTGCCGGCGCCAGGCCACTCCCACCAGAGCATCGAGCTCGAAACCAGAGCTTGGTCGAGGGATGTCCAAGAAACGACTCTGCAACGTGCGGACAATGTAACGCATCGAGCTCGAAACCAGAGCTTGGTCGAAGGATGTCCAAGAGACGACTCTGCAACGTGCGGGCACTTGGGCAACAAAACGAAGTGCCGAGTGCCGTCCGTCCCGCCGCTGCACATCCTGCAGGGGCCAGCTCTGCCACATTGCGAATGCGTGCGCCATCCGTTGCGAAGAAGACTGAAGACTGCGGCCCAAACCCGCGGCTGGCAACAGCGCCCGACGACCGCCAGGTTGCGGAGCGTCGGTGTGGCCTTCACGTGGGCCATGCAGCTGGTCCATGACATATTTCTGCCAATCCTCCTTGCGGTGCCACTGGGGGGCTTCCGGGTTGGCGCGGCGATGGACATTGACGCGCTGCGCAGCATTGTCGTCGTCGTTCGGGTGTACCGTTGTCTCAATTCCCCAATGCGTCGACGTCGACGTCGTCGTCGTCGTCGTCGTCGTCGTCGTCGTCGTCGTCCGGCTGTACCGTTGCCTCAATTCGCCTGGCAGGTCTGCGCTGGATCGGACCGCGAAATCGGATTGGACTGGGAGCGGATCGAATCGCCAGTGAATCGTCCCGAATCGGATCGGCATCGAATCGCCGCGCCCAGCTTCCAGCTGGCCATGGCCGATGCCCTCTTCAGAGCCGGACCGCATCGAATTGGCACCACGGCCCTCGCCGGCGAATCGAATCGCATCGAATGGGATCGTACCCGGAGGTCCGATGTCGTGATTTTGAAAATGCGGAGTCCCCGGAAATCTCGACCCATTCCCAGGGAGCGGTTTTCTGTCCCGAATAAATTCTTTGACGATCCCGGGGCCTGGCGAGGGTCCCTGGGGGCCAAAAGCTGCGAGAAACCTCCGTCTTGATTTTTTCAAGGCGTGGGATCTTTGGGTAGGCGACCCTGCCTGGGACGCTCCCCTGCGGAACCCGAGCGCCTCCGCGACGGCGTGGGGCAGGGCCGCCGTCGTCGTGGTCGTCGTCGTCGTCGTCGTCGCCGTCGTCGTCGTCGTCGTCGTCGTCGTCGTCGTCGTCGTCGTCGTCGTCGTCGCCTCCGCGACGGCGTGGGGCGGTGCCGCCGGCGCGGCCCGCAGCGGCTCCACGGGCGGGCCCCGGGGCGGCTCGTCCAGGGCCTGAACCTCTCCCGCGCGCGGTCTCGCGGGGGCACCCCTCCGCCGCCCCCTCCCCCTCCTCCCCTCCTCCTCCTCCTCCCTCCTCCTCCCCTCCTCCTCCTCTCCTCCTCCTCCTCCTCCTCCTCCTCCTCCTCCTCCTCCTCCCCTCAAGTTCCTCCTGGTGGTGGGGCTGGTGGCAGCGGGTTCAACGGCAGTGTCGGAAGTGTCTCCCTCTCGGCCGACGAGCTGCGCCAGCTCATCTCACTCTGCGAGAAAGGAGGAGATATGTCAGCCGCTAACAAGCACAAGCAGGCCCTGGACAAGCTCACGAAGTCAGCACAGCCCGTTCCTGTACAACAGCGGGCCGCAAAAGCTCATAGTAACGTTCAATACTGGGAAAGGAAGCTCTCAGTCGAATTGGACCGCCTCGGCAAGTTGGAAGATCAGCTCAGTGTGCAACGGGACGCTGCTGCTGCTGCACGTGCCGAGCTACAGGACGCCGACGAAAAATACAAGGAGCTGGTCAGGGAGTTGGCTGGTGGCATGGTCAGCACCGAAGACTGTTCAAAGGGAGTCGTCGGCAAGGTCGATGTATCCGAGCTCATGGATGGTAAGTGCACCGTGTTCGACCTGGTCAGCCTCGACTCGATTTTCAAATTCGACGAGAGTGAGTATACTATTGCCAAGGAAGATAAGGATGAGATGGAGACACGCCGCCAGACGCTCAATGCCCAGTTCCGCGAAGCCTGCTCATCCATGTTCGCTGACGCCCTCTCGAAGGCCAAAAACATTCGTGAGGAGCAGGCCAAGCACGTGGCTAGGTTGGGCAAGAAGCGGCGGGCCGACGAGGATGGAGGCACGCTGCCTGGGGCAGCTCAGCCGACGGCTGCGGCAGGAGCAGCTCCGAGGACGCCGCCTGCCGCTCCAGCTTCACGTGAGCCACAGGCGGAGTCTGTGGCGGCTGCTGGGGAAGGCAGCGACAGTGACGCTTCAGCAGCCTCTTCAGTGCGTGAGCGTGCGGCTGCGGCTCTTGACAAGCCTCAGCAAGCCCCTCCCCCTGCCGCGCGTACCCCATAAGGACGGCAGGGGGAAACGTCTCCATGGAAAAACTTTTTGTAAGCTCGAGCCTGTGGATCGCCTCGCTCGGACCATCTCAAAACTGGATACGTTTCTCTGGTTTCTTTTGTCTCCTGCCGACAGTGGCCCAGCGGCCACGGGCAGTCTCGGAAATGGTTTTGGAAGGCGTGACGCGCTGTCTGTGCAGCCTTTAGCATATCCGCAGACGAGCCTTTCGGCAAGCAGCTCCGCCCCCCACGTTAAATTTTGTCCTGCCGACGTGGGGTGTGGGCTCTCTCAGCCCCTGTCAGGGGGGTCTGACAGTTTTGACTTCTTTGGGGCCCCCCAGGCCCCTGGTAATGATGCCATTGCTCTGCAGGTTTGTAGTTGCAATTGTACGGCGTGGTCATCAGCCAAAGAGTGGCTGCCGACCACGTCGGCTCACGCAGTTTTGTTACAGGAGCATCACCTTAAAGAATACCAGATTGCTGAGGCCCAGAGTTGGTTGCTCAAGAACGGGTGGAAGGGCCTCTTCGAACCAGCTAAGGTGACTCGTGAAGATACGGACGTGTACACCTCAGGCGGGGTGGCGGTTCTGGTCAGGAGCTTTCTTGGATTGCACGAACCAGTCGGAGGTACTAAGGTATGCCAGCACCGTGCAATGGCAGCGTGGACTCATGTAGGCAAAGGGGATCCCATCCTGCTGATCAGTTGCTACTTGCACTGTGTCGAAGAGCTCAGCGATGCGAATCTTGACATTCTCGCTGAGATAGGCTCCACGGTCAGCTCGTGCATGTCTTCGTATATTATCGGAGGGGACTTCAACATGGACCCCGCGGTCTTAGGCAAGTGCCAGTACGTTGAGTCCCTGGAGGCCCAGTTGGTGAGCACGGAGTCTGGGACGTGTCTTTCTTCTGCGGGAGTTCGAGTCCTGGACTATTTCCTGGTTTCTAGTGGGCTCGCCAAAGGTATCTGCTCGATCCAGGTAAATCGTAATGTTAACATCTCACCGCATTATCCTGTGGAAATGACCTTTTTCGAGCAGTTGGAAGACCTGAAGGTGTTATCGTTTCGGAAACCTCCCCCTCTACCTGTCGAACTTCCTATTGGTCCTGCCCCTGCCCCCCGTGACTGGAGCCAAGTTCTCAAACTTGTTGAGGGAGTTTTTGATTGTGCTCAGCGTGGGTCTCGTGAGGCATTTGAGGGGCTCGACGCGTTGTACAAGTCTTGGGCTAATGCGGCTGAGTTGGAGTTAGAAGGGGCCCTACAGACCAAGTTGCCTAAGAATGGTTGTCGGGGAGAATCTCCACAAGTCTGGTGGGTTGACATCAAGTAAAGAGACAAACGTCCAGGTCGACACCCCGCTTTGTTCTGTGTCCGCTGGCTTTGTCAGAATTATCGGCTCTGGTGGATGCATGTGCGGGCTGGAGAGCCCGACAAGCCAGCCAGATTTCACGCAAAAGCAGCCATCTGTTCCCCTTCGAGTTTCATTCTGGACAACTTCGCCAAGAGTGATTTCAGCCAGTTGTATGCAGATGTATGTGAGTTTATAGCGAAGGACGGCCAGTCGCTCGATGATTGCTACACCGTCTCGACGCGCCTCGCAGACGCGCTGAAGATGGCCTCGCTCGCTGCCAAGAACGATGCTGACCGTGCGTGGAAGGAGTGGCTTCTGAAGGACATCGACCAAGGGGCTCGCGCGGCCCACGCTTGGTCGAAGCCTGTCGAGGCCTGGGCTCCGTCCTCGGCACTGTCAGCATCGGGTCAGGTGCTTTCAGACCCTTTGTCGTTACTCAAGGCTGAAGGGCTCAGGTTCAAAGGTCTGTGGCTGGCTACTGAAGGAGCTGAATCCGTCGACTACAACCAGTGCCAGGATTTCCAGCCTATGCCTGCCTTGCCAAGAGTTTCTGTTGACACGATTCGTTTGGCAAGCCGCTCATACAATAGTCGATCTGCAGTCAGTGTCGATGGTTTTCACATGAGGCACTTTCGGCTTCTTTGCAACGAATCGCTCGAAGTCCTTTCCCACATCTTCGGTATCATCGAGATGATGTCGACTCTTCCCATCCAGATTCGTTTAGTGATGCTGGCTATGCTTCCAAAACCGATGGGCGGCCTGCGCCCGATCGGGACCTTCACGTCCACTTACCGCTTGTGGGGGAAGACCAGGAGGGAGGTTGCAGTGGAATGGGAGGAGGCTCACTCGGCAAGTTTTTTCTCAGGTAGTGGGTTTAAGAGTGCCACGGATGTTGTCTGGCGCCAAGCTGCTCGTGCAGAAGGGCCCACACGAACAAGGGTATATGCTGCGACAGTCTTATGGGACATGTATAAGTTTTATGAGTTGATGGACCTTGGGGATCTTGAGGCTCGGTGTCTTAAATTGGGTTTCTCGCGCACAGTCATCAAGGTTTCGCTGGCTGCTTACAAATCGGCTCGTTTCATTAACATCGCTGGGTTCCTGGCTGGGCCCTTCCTGGCATTCAGGGGGGTTATTGCAGGCTGCAGTCTAGCTACAACTTATGTGCGTATCTTTTACATGGAAACGTTTTTGCAGGTCTCTGTGGGGCCCGCCACTAGCATCGACCCCTTCATAGATGCCATAGGGATTTCTAGTACTGGCACTTTCAAGCAGGTCTTGGCTGATTTGAAGTCGGCTACGGCAGCTGTTTATGTGGCGGTCACGGAGGATTTGAAGTCTGTTATCTCCCCCGACAAGGCCAACCTTGTTGCCAGTGACGCCACTCTCGGCAAGTTGTTGGCCGAGTGGCTTGGGGCCTTGTCGGGGCCCAGCGCGAACCGCTCTACTGCTGTCAACTTGGGGATTGATGACGCGGCTGGGAAAGGTAGCAGGGTGCGAGGGAGAGCGGTTAAGCGGAAGCAGAGAGAGAGAGAGAGAGAGAGAGAGAGATAGAGAGAGAGAGAGGTTTCCGGAGGAAGGTGGAGCGCATCAAGAGACAGAGGCATATCCTTGGCCGATCTGCGAGAAAGATTTTCTGTAGTGGGCCTCTGCCAGGGATGTGCTACGGAGCTGAAGTTCACGGTCTAAGTAACACCGAGTTAGGTCGTATCAGGCAGCAGGCTGGCAAGTGTCTACGGCCGTCTTGTGGCGGACGATCTTTGTCTGCTGCACTTGTGTTTGAGGATGAGCCTTGCTGGTATGGGATGGTTGCACCGATCGTGAGGTGGAGCAAGGAGGTTTGGGCAGCGCAGACAAGGGCCTTTCCATTCTGTTTTAGCATGCCAGAGCTGCGCCGTCTTTGGTCTGCTGTCTTCGAGTCCGCCACCCTTCCCATCACATGGAGACACGTTCACGGACCCATCAGTGCGTTGTACATGTCTGTAAAGAGGATAGGGTGGCGAATGCGGGACTTCGCCACGCTGATGGATCATCGTGGCACTGCTGTTTCGCTTACTTACGTCAGTCCTACTTTACTCAAGGATATTTTGCGAAGGGCGGTCGTTCGGGACCTTGAGAGGTCCATTGCTATCAAGCTGGAGGTGCCCTGGGACCGTGTGTGCTTTGATATTGTCAAATCTGAAGCCCGCAAAAAAAACGCTACACGCCCATGGAAAAATGAGCTATTCGAAGTCTGGCATGTGGGGGCTGCTGGACAGCGTCACGGGCTCATGCCCTTGGATACCAGTTAGACGACGACCAGCTGCTCTGCCCTCTCTGTCAGCAGGCTGTTGACACCCCGCATCATAGGCTTTGGACTTGTGAGGCCGTGAGGGACGAGAGGGAGGAGTTGGTGAAAGATGATATCATCAAGATGGCGTGTGGGGAGCTCACGAAGGATGATGACATTTTATACACGCGCGGCATCTTCGAGCATCCAGAAGGGTATTGGCCTCAGCCTAGGGAGTTCGGCGGTGTGGAAATCAAGTCGTATCGGGACGATCGCGGTTTCGATGACGGAGTGATCGGGGGCCGAATTTTCGTAGATGGGAGTTTGTTCGGGCATCCGATACCA